TACTACTAGTACTACTAGTACTACTACTACTCTACTTTACTACTAGGACCACTAGTACTACTAGTACTACTAGTACTACTAGCTCTACTGGTACTACTAGTACTAGTACTACTTGTACTATTGGTACTACTAGTTCTACTGGTACTACTACTACTACTACTAGTAGTAGTAGTAGTAGTACTACTACTCCTACTACTCCTACTACTCCTACTCCTGCTACTCCTGCTGCTGCTACTACTACTACTACCATTACCACCACAGCTGCAACTACAACTACAACTACACCACATTGCACTACACTACAACTACAAATACAAATACAAATACAACTACACTACATTACACAACTCTACACTACACTAATTGCACTACACCAATTAAATTACATTACGCTACAACTACAACTGCAACTACAGTTACAACTACCACTACATTGCACTACACTACACTACAAGAATAACACTACGCTGCACTACAACTACAACTACACTACTTTACACTACACTAGACTAAGCTACCTTATACCACACTACAATACACACCACTACAGTACACTACAATACACAACACTCATTACACCACACCAAAACTACAACTGCAACTTACAACTACAACCCCACTACCCTACACCACAACTACAACTACAACTGCACTACACCACACTACAGCCAGCAGCTGCGGTGAGGTGACCGCTGCAACCATTGCAACCGCTCGAAAACACAACTGCAACCAAATTTCAGTCCATCAGTGGATTCGCTCTGCCATCCGTGATTCACAACAACCAACCTCTCCTATTGGTCTACTATTTTTCAAACTTCCGCCACCGCCTTGTGCGGCACTACTGATACAATCACTATTTTAGGCGCTTTGTAGTTTGGGTTCTTTTCAGTTTTGATTGAAACGTTTTGGAGCTTTAAGGAGCTATGATTTGGTCCTTCAACACGCCATCCTGCACAGCTCTGGGTGCCCGGGGCGGCACCCTGGAAGAAATGTGCTGGCCTTTGGCTTGGTCGGCGCCGGTTATCTCAAAGGATGGCATCGTTTATATCAACTGGGCCTTCGGCGGTGTCACCTTTGCATTGCGTGACATCAACAAAGATGGCCTGTGTGACCTTCACAACCCCGAAGAAGTCTCCAGCTTTGATTTCGGCATTGGCCATCAGGGAGGTCCTGCGCTGGCCCCTGGTATGCTTGTGGTGCTCACCTGCCATGGACCGAGGGCGATTCTCACTGCAGCTATAGAACAATGAATAGCTGAATGCAGCTGGGTCTTGAGGCGTGTTCGTGCAAATCAATTAACAATGATTTACGGTGCCCTTGTGCAATTTTCATTTGGGCCTCTGCAGGGGAAAGCCTTTGGGAGTAGATGCCTTGGGGGGACCCTGCGCAGCAGATAGCTGGTAAATGCTGGTAAAATGCGGATGGCATGCACGCCCAAATGATTTTTAGAGGATTGGCTAAGACCATGCTCATCAGCCACTGTAACCAGCTGCCAGCAGATCATATTTGTAGGAGTTCAAAAAGGTGCCCTGGAGATTGACTCATTAGTTGAGGAATAGCCGCGTAGCATTAGAATTTTCTGAGATGATGACCCCGACATCCTACCGTTGAATCAAGACGATCATTCAGATTTGATCTCGGGGCAGCTATATTTCGGAGTCTAAACCGGTTTTCTTTGATATTTCCCTCGCACAAATCCATTAAGTTATCTGACTGATTTAGTGGGCTCGGCCCAAGGTGGTGAAGACTTTCAGAGACACCACCTTCCTTTGTTTCAGTAGCATCCACATTTTGCAGCTGTGCATGTGGGCGGACTCCCGCCCTTGGTGCCTGCGCAGCTATGCATGCTGGCCATTGGAGCGTGGGCAGGACAAGCGCCGTGGTGGTATTCTTGAGGGAGCTTGTTTGAAGTCCGGCAAGACATGCCCTCGTGATTCTCAGGGTTTTTCAATCGAAGCTGAGCGAATCAACAACGACACTGATCTCTGCCTTAGTGATCCGTTGTAGTCCAGTTCTTTGCTTTCTTTGCTTTCTTTGCTTTCACTATCGTTAGTTCCTTTGGCTGTTTTTGCTGATGCTCCTGTTTCATCCCTTTGGATCTATTGCATTCCATGCCAAGGGGCTGCCTGCATAATCACAGGACGTTGACGAGATCAACGAATCCAACGACACCAACGTGACACCAATGTGACACAGCTCGATCCCCAACTGGGTCCTCCCATCCAGGCGCAAGATTCGCAAGGTTCAGGAGGTGTTGTGTGGTGATGTGTGGCGATGTGTAGTTGGCAATGCGTTGAAACTCCATGTCGTTACTACATGCTGCCCGTTATTCAAGAGGCAAAGTTCAGACCTCTCTGAGGTCGTGCCACCAAGAGATACCAAGAGAATTCAGTATTCGTTTGTCAAAGAGTGTTTCAATATGTTTCAAGTTGGCAGGGTAGTACAACTCGCTACGCTTCTCTGCAGCTGTTTCTGCAGCAGCGTTGAGCGTATATATGGTTTTTTTCTGTCGCAGGTTGAGTCGAGTCCATTGAGCGTCATCAACGCTCTTGGAAGCGTAGCAGGGCTTAGTTTCCTCCCAACGAAGGCAAAGCCAAGCCGTTTATTCTTCTCCATTTTGTTTAGCTTCGTGTTTCGTTGCGAGGCTGAATTCAGTGCCGATTTGGACTTGACATTTACAAAGCCAGGGCAGGCAGCCCAGTTCACAGGAAGTAGTGGAAACCACCTTTACACACTCTCATGATCCCAGAAGATGAGTTTGATGTGTTCAGCAGCTCAGAGTAGAAGATCACAAAACATCACAAAGTTCCAATATGTTCCAATGTCTTGCAGCAGTAGAAAGGGATAGAAAGGAATAGTCCAGGAATACCATTCAAGGATACCAGTAGTACCGCACAAGGCGGTGGCGGAAGTTTCAGAAAAGGAAGCCTATAGAAGAGGTTGGTTGATGTGAATCACGGATGGCAGAGCGAATCCACTGATGGACTGAAAGGTGGTTGGAGTTGTGTTTTTGGAGCGGTTACAGTGGTTGCAGTGGTCACCTTGTCGGTCACCTCACCCACAACTGCCGGATGTAGTGTGGTGTAGTTGCAGCTGTAGTTGTAGTTGTTGTGTAGTGGAGTTTTGTAGTTGGGGCGTAGTGTAAGTAGTGTACTTGCAGTTGCATTTGTGGTGATGGAATGAGTCTCGTGTAATGTAATGTAGGGTAGTGTAGTGTAGTGTTGTGTAGTGAGGTGTAGTGTAGTGTAGTGCAGTGTAGTGTAGTGTCGTGTAGCTGTCGTTGTCGCTATAGTTGTAGTTGTACTTGTAGTTAGTGGTGTGATTTGTATAGTGTAGTGTAATGTAGTGTATCGGTAGTTGTAGTTGTAGCTGTAGCGTAGTGCAGTGTAGTGGCGTGGAGTGTAGTGTAGTAGTGGTTGTAGTTGAAGCTGCTACAAAACCTTGACGTTTTGCTCACTTCTGAAACTGTGCACAATCCCCTGCGCCTGCCATGCAAACCGACATTTGAACGTCCAAAAGTGTTCCGTACCCCTCAGCACTTTTGGCTTCGAAATATGCTTCGCACCACATGCACCTTTTTCGACATCTCAACTTCCAAAATGGTCCGACCCTGGTGTGTTTTGTACATTTTGTTGTCGAAATGTGCTTCGCGCCACAACGGCATGCACTTTTTCGACATCTCAACTTCCAAAAGTGGTCCGAGAAACCGAGAATGGTGTGTTTTGTACATTTTCACTTGGAAATGTGCTTCGCCCCACGATGGCGCGCAATTTTTCTCTCATCTGACCACATGCCTCCGCACCCGCCGCTAAGCGAGCCTACTTTTCGACCCTCGGGAGCCACAAATCATTGGAAAAAGTCAGTGTTTCGGGACTTCCTACATTTTGGCGCACCTGGACCCGACACATGAATTTTTGAGTTTTGTGGAAGCAATGTGCGTAATATGGAGAAACAGGACAGCCAATGTCTCTCCATGCAAACTAAACAAACAATTTATAGGAGGTTCTGACTCTTTCGCTGCGTCCACCATGCCGGCCACAAAGCGCATGAAGCTGGAACTGGAAGGGCCGCCTGAGCCCTCCAAGACTTCAATACGAGCATCTGCAGCGCCAAGCACCTCTGTTGACAATAAAGCGGCAGCGTCACTGGAAGTGACCCACTTTGCCAGAGCGAAGACTGTGAACTGGTCAAATGTGATGAAGATGAAGGGGTGGAGAATGTAGCCGATGGGGGTATGACTTGTAGTGAGGCGGGCAGCTTGCGAGCTACAGCCCATTCCTGGCTCGCAAGCGAGGCTTCTACGGATTGGCAGTCAGTTTGATGTGCTTGCAGGGCATAGACTTGCGTAGATTCCCACCGACGACTAGAAGAGTCGTGAGAGAGTTCTTCCAGCGGTACCATCCCTTTGCAAATCAGGACCTTCTGTGGTCTTTGTCTTTCAAGGAAGAGGGCGGGTCTGGGCAGCGTGCAATATACAGAGCAACCCTCACAACACATGTGCTGAATGACTGAGAATTTGAGGGGAAAATGTCGTCCACCAGCATGCGCGTTGCTGAGGAATCAGCCGTTGTAGCCATTCGGGAGGATCCAGAAGTGCGAGAAATTGCGAAGGTGCTTCCGCCGCAAAAAAAGATTAAAGAATGGGTGCACCTGAGCAGCCAAGAAAAGGAAAGCTTGGTGGCTGCCGGAGTTGACACTGGTATGGTTTTCAAGGACCTTGTCCAGTGTGTGATGCATGTCCGAGATTTGGGCAGAACTGCACTCTGGGATGGAATGCTTGACCTCTTCTGCCCGCTCTGTTTTGAAAAGCATGGTGTTTCAATGCAGCGGATGGGAATTGGCCAAAACTGAGGGGGAGATAAGTTTCCTATTTTTGAAACTTCCGCCACCGCCGTACTACTGGTTTACGTGGGGTTTCCGTCTTGTTAAGATCCATTACATATACGTTGAAACACCAAAAACTCTCTAAGCAGCAGTTGCATAGAGGCAGGGTGCTCACGGGGGAATATCTCAAGGTTCTGCAGGGTAGCTGCAAGGTATTTTGTGTTCTTAAGGCTTGTGTAAATCATTGTGCCATTCGGCAGACGGGCAGCTGCTTAAGTTGGTCACCTGATAGAGGATGGCTTTCGCTAGCATTTTAGCTGCTTCCATGTGGAATTTCAGTGACCTTTTCGCAGGAAATGATGGTGAAAGATCAACAACTGTGGTAAAAGTGCGATTTTGAAGCGTGTAAAAGCTGCTCCGTGTAACAGTTTCTCTGTGTTTTTTTTGTGCGCCAATGCGGCTCTGTGTATAGGTTTCTTTGTGCAAAAGCCTCTCCGCACAAAAGTTTCTGTACGTAAAAGCATCTGTGCGTAGGAGATTCTCTTTGTAAAACCTTCTCTGTGTAAACCAAGCGTCTGTGTGTAAAGTTTCTCTGTGTAAAAAGGCATCTGTGCGTAAAGGCATCTGCGTTTGTGTGTGTAAAAGCGTCTCTGTGCGTAAAGGCGTCTATGTGCGAGGGTTTGGCTGCGTAGAAGTTTCTGCCTGCAAAAGTTTGTTTGTGCAAGAGCTGCTCTGTGTAGAGTCTTCTGTGTGGTAAAGTGTCGTGTGTAGAACCCGCTTTGTGTCAAATCATCTGAGTGTAAAAGCTGCTCCGTGTAAAGGTTTCTCTGCGTAAAAGCTTCTGCGTGTGAAAGCTGTTCTGTGCAATGAAGCCTCTCTGTATAAAGACTTCTTTGTGTAAAAACTTCTGTGTGTATATAGATTCACAGTGTTTGAAGTCGGAGGTGCAGCCGTTGCAGAACAAGAACAGAAAAAGCAAGAACATGAGGTGGACACAACATGACACAACTTCTGAGAACTATTGAGGAATGCTTTGCTTTCCGTGATTTTGTTGGCCAGGTTGCAAAGATCCAAGAAACATTGGGCAACCTGAAGAAGGCACAAGGAGCAGTCCCTAGCAGATGGAGTAACAAACGAAGTGTATCGGAGTGCTTTGCATTTGTTTCCATGGCAAACATGGAAGGAGAGCAGCCAAAAGACATGAAGTTTTCGGATCGTATCAGTCAGGTTCAGTGCTGAACGAAAGAAATCGCTGGGTTGAAAAAATACAGAGACGTTGAACACAGTAGATTTGTAGATGAAAAGACACACTCAGACTCGCACACTTTTGCTTGGGCTGAGGTAGAGCAGAATGAAAAAAGCTTTTCAGGTCTTCGGCTGAACTTGAAGTTTGACCTTGAAAATCATTTGAAATGGAGGCTTTTGTTTTTGAACATGTGCCTAAGGTTCGATGGACAAGGCACTTTTGCTTGGCTTTGATCGCCAAAGCTTTTCTGCACATGCTGAACCAAAGTTCTCATGAATTCTCAGATGCTTCCAAGCAAAAACAGAGGGATACTGGAACAACATGGAACAACTGTCTGTATGTCTTGTTCTTGTGTCAGGTAACCCAGAAGCTGAAGGGAATGGAAGGTTCCATCAGCGACCTCAATACGACCGTGATCAAGTCCGCAGGTGGAGCAAAGCACAGGTTTTTGCGACAGAAGTTGGATCGAAGATGATGGAAGTCCCAGGACATTCACCTCGAGGCTGGAGATTTTTGATGATTTTTGCATGAGAAATGTGCTGGAAACTATAAACCATCACCACAAATATACCATAAACGGATGGTATAAAGATGCATAGAGAACCATCTCCAATTAGAGGTTTATTGTTACGTTTACCACAATACAAACCTGTGGTTCTTGACTTTTCACGAAAGTCAAGACTTTTGCAAACTTGAATATCTCCCTATACTGGGCTTGTAGCACCATGCCAGATGCTAGCTGCTAGCCACTACCTGAAGCTCTGAAGTTTCAGGACAGCGGTTGAGGAGGTCACCCAGGTGCCATTCAGAAGCACTTGCACCTCAGACAGACTGTACTGGAAGCACGTGTTTTGCAAGAGCGAAATCCAACGAACATAGTTTCCATGGTGAGTTTCAAATCAATCCATCCACCTTTGTGACGCTTTGGAGGCCGGGCATTTTCTCCAAAGACAAAAGGCTGTTGGATGATGTGAGGTCCGCGGGATTGCGACTGTTTGCACTCATGGATTTGCGCATTTCCACATTTGCACCAGTTGTTACTGACGAGAATCCGTGAAACTTGAATCCAAACATCCACAGAGAATGCATGTGTCGAACTTTTGCAACTTGACAATTCGGCATAGCTTCCATATATTGCTTCCTGTTTTTGTTCGAACTCAAGCGAGCGATTTCTCTGCAACGCGCCCGAAACTCACAAGCCTCGATCCTTTCCACCCGCAATGTGCTGCGGGAATCGTTGTTTGATTGCCCTGTTCGTTTTGGCCCTGAACGCCGTGGAAGCGGCGCGTCCCGGCCTGCCTTCGGCCCTGACGACGCAGCCTGCAAACCCAAAGTGCCGGGATATCAAGGACACCCCACATCCTGAGACGCTGGAAGACTCGGGATTAAGTTGGAGTGGGGAGAGCTGTTATATGCTGTTATTGTCTTATCAATATGCATCCATCCCACGGCTGCGGGGAAGTTGAGGAAGTCAAAGATCGCCTCGGACGCAGGTGGCGTTCTTTCCGCCTGGCAGATGCCGACATGACGAGCTGCAAATGTCTCCGGGGCCTGGAGAAAGCCCAGGAGTGCTCGGTGGTGGTGGAGGCGGCGGCCGTGCGATTCTGCGCACTGGTCGTGGAAAAGACATGGGACACCTTTGGAGACAAGCAGAGCTACGTCCAGAATCGTTTGAAGATGACCCCGGAGCTCTGCCAGGAGATCCTGACGGGCACCTTGGACGATGTCGGCACCCCACAAAGCCAAAGCCTCTTCCATGAAGCCAATGCGCTCTCGAATCGAAGCACAAAGGGACCAATGGAATGGGCCGCTTAGACCCCTTGGTCACAGGAGGATTTCCAAGTTCCACTGAGCACCACTGCAGAAGTTGCTGCGCCATGTTTGCCAGGATGAGTGCAAAGAGATCGTGGACGAGACCCTGAAGAACATCAGGAAGATGACCGGTGATGTCGATGATGCCATGCCTTCTGAGGAGACCTGCGCCGACAGAGTCGTGCGCAGAGTAGAGGCGGAGATGTTGGGTTGTTGCGGCCGTTCATGTGCATGGATGGAATGGCCACAGCTGCAGCTCCTGGCCATTCCTGGCCAAGGACGAAAATGCACGGCGTTCAATGTGCTCCAAAACAGCAACAGGAAACACATGTGCAACTCTGTCCTCAGCCCCAGGCAGGTCGAATTGGTCTCCCAGAAAGACACCAAAGCCAAGACAGGCGATGTCGGTGGTGCGTACATGGGGCAGGACCCTCGGCTTCTTTGGGCAAAACCAGGCCTTGCCAAGTTCCACCAGCAGCTGAACAAACTGAAGCAAAAGCCCAAAGAGAATGAGCCAGTGAGCTCGGACTTCCTGGAAAGGAACCCAGATGTCCACAAGAAAGGGCTTCGGGAGGGCTGGTTCCGGGAACCAGCCCTCCTGAAGCCCTTTCTTGTGGACATCTTAGAGGATCCTCAGGAAATGTCGACTTCTTTGGCCGAGATCGGGGCCAGCACCTGCGACGATTTGCAGAAGAGGGTGCAGAAGATGCAGCATTGCCCCTCTACGATGCAGGACCAGGTTCGGAAGACCTGCCTTCGGCAAGAAGGATGGCAGGCCTCAGCCAAACCTGACAAGGATGACCCGTTTGACGAGCCCACCTGTCAGGAGAAGATGACCGATCCCAACTTCAATACACCCACAAATGTTGCCACACCCGATGAGTGTTTGGCGATCAAAGTTGGTGAGCCCAAGCACATGTTCTTTGTGTGCGATACAGCCGATCCAGATGGCATTGTCCTGGAGAAGCCCATCCTATGCTTTCCAGAGAAGCCCATCAAATGCGACTTCGAAGAGGGGCGGAAAGTGAGTGAGAGTGAATTCAATCGCGACAAAGGCTTCGCAGACTACATCTATTGGTTCGAGATTCCAAAGACTTCCAAAGCCTGAGAAGAAGAAGCCTGAGGGAGGCTATTGAAATCTATTGACCCAGGCCGCGCCGTTTGGAAAAGGAGCGCTTTGCCATGATTTGCCCATGGGCTTGCAATGCACCTTGAGGTGACCAAACATCAGGGCATAGGGCATATCAGGGCATCTCGTTCCGCGGTGCTTGTCTTTGGGGACTAATCATCCACGTCTGAGCATGTTTGGCAGTTCTGGGCTCTGTGAACATGATTCCTGCTGTGCCAGGTGATCCTTGAAGCCAGGAAGATTGTGTGGAGACGGCTCCATGGCATGGAGGCTGATCCGGAAGTTTCCGGAAGTCTGATTTCTGAAGTTTCTTAAGTCTTAGACTTTGAATCTTGGCAATCACGAATGTTGAGAGAGCATGAGAGAGCTGCTTGAAAAGACTAACTTGTTGTAAGAATCCTAACTTGCTGCAAGTGTATTTGGATGCTTGTCTTCAGATCGCTGAATCAGTGCTTGATGACAGGTAGATTTTGGGCTCCATTTGCCCATGCGAAGCCGCTGTCACAAAGGCCCGCCTCATATGGGAGCCGATCGCCTCATGTTACATGTCAGCCTCAAAAACTGTACTGTGTTCAATAGTGATAGCCAATAGCAAAGAAGAATCAGAACAAGTTCAAAGTTGATGAAAACCCAGTGGGCCAGATCAATTTAATTTCAAAACATGTCGATGAAATCAGCGATTGGTTCGCGGTTGATCTGCGATTGCTCCGCAATTGTTAAACCCCGCCTGAATAGGCCCTGGCCCACGCCATGTCTCTAAATACTGTGATAATCTGTGATATATAGCAATGTTTTGACAAGATAGTTTCTGTGCAAAATAGTGTCGCATACGGCAGAACCCCCTCCCGCGATTGACACCGTTGGGATCGCGGTTGATTCGCGGTTGAGCGGCGACTGTAGCTGCCCCAGATGCCTTTATTTTGATCACCCATGTGATGCCGAACTGTTCGCAGACTGTTCACAGGAAATGTAGGGACTTGGGATGATTTGGGATGACTTATGACTTGGGACAATGCTTGGGAAACATTTCGTACATGTCAGTGTGTTCATTGATCATGGTGTGTTGGATAGTTTGGTTTTTGCTTCTCAGCTTTCCAATGTGCGACACTTTTGGTTCCTCCACTTTTGCTGGATGCGCAGCATGAATCATACTTGCCTTTTTTGAATTGAAGCAAGAGTCGGCTTGGAAGAAAATGGCACACACCAGCAGGAACTGCTCCCAGAAGCTTTTGGCAGTTTCACAAGACAAGGCACAGCGCGGAAGGGGCCAGTGTCCGCTGAAGCCAAATCAGATGATGAGTCCTCCCAGTTCAGGAACAACGAGTATTTGATCCAAAAAGTTTGCCGTGTGTCAAAACTCGGGGGTGAACATAAACAGATTTCGACTTTACAATGTATATATCAAATTATAATATATATATATTATTTATCATACATTTTTTGTATTTGACTTTAAAATCAACCGCCAAAAAGACAAAAAGTAATTTGCCACACTATTCTAGTAGGATTTACTTTTCTTTCTTTGAGCAGACTACACGTTCCACCACGTTCCACGCGTATCGAACCGCAAGAGTGGACATGGAAGAACACTGCTTCTGAAAACACAATGTTTGGGATGTAACCTGCTGTAAGACGCAAAGGCCGCAGGAAACTGATGCGTCAGGAAACTGATGACTGATTTGCGATGTGCAATCGGGCACCGAGGGTTAAAAACGAAGCAACCTCCATCTCTTACGACATAACGGTGACATAACCTCCATGTGACTTTGACAGTTGGACTCCACGTGCCAGAGGTCACCTTTTCGAGCGCCAAGCATCGCTTGGAAACTGGGTCTGTGACCAAGTCTTTACCTATGACGAAAGCTGCAAAGCCTGACATTTTTAAGCTGGGAAGACGTGAAATGTTGCTTTTGTGTGGCGTGAAGTGTGGAGTGTGAAGTGTCAGGTATAGAATGTGAACAAAAGAGTGTAGAGTGTGGATTGTAGAGTGTGAAGTGCAGACTGTGACATGTTGCCCTGTCGTATCTCGTCATCAAAATGCAGTGGCAAAGGCTGTAGCTGAGACATCTAATCTACCCATTAGGTTGGAGTTTCAAAGGGGCCAGGACTGGCCAAGAGTTGATCCTGTGTTTTGTTCATGTTTGTTCTACAGTGCTTATTGAACCTTCATTTGTCTTCATGATGGGCTCAATAATGGACTCCATAATGCTGCCACCTGTGCAAGACACCCAGGAGATACTTGCGATGGATCTGGGCTGGCGCTGGTCCTTCCGTCAAAAAGGAGCATTGTCGCAATGACAGACATGAGACTGGATAGAACAGTTGGGAGTTTTAAGAAGGTGGCAAGCCATCCTTGCTGTGAGTCATTGATTTGGGTTGCGGGCTTACACAAGACAAGGTCGTGTCTGTTTGCAAGCCCAGAAAGCTACTAATTCGATACTGGAATGTAATCAGCTCCATCTAACATGGGGGTTCTCGATCAAGCAGTCAGTTCGAAATTGAAAACTGCCAGTTTTTGGTGACTGAAGTGATGCATGAGGTGATTTGTTTTTTGGATGTTGCAGAAAAGTGCGTGGAGGTTTGGTGTCCAACATGCTCGCTTCGCAGCTTTGCCTTGCCTGCTCAGCACGCCATCGAAACGTCATCAAACACGTCAAGCCACTCCTACCCGTCTTTTTATTTGGTCCGATCCCGTGCCCCAGCAATTTTTAGCACACGTAACACACATGCAACACACATACAACATCATACAACGCACTTTCAGCATATTCAACTCACATCATGGCAGCAATGGCTCCAGAAGATTTGCCAGCAGCGCGCTTAGGTGTACTGGGCATGGCATATTGGGATGTCAAAGTCAGGATGGGGTATTAAAATTATGCATTGACTCTGTGCTTGGTAAGTTTGTCGCCTAATTTTCAAAAGGCAAGGCAGAAAGTAGAAAAGATCCCGACATGACACGGAGTGTGAAGAGTGAAGTGTAGACTGTGACATGTAGAGTGTGAAGAGTGAAGTGTAGAGTGTAGAGTGTGAAGTGCAGATGGAATGTGGAGTGTGGCGTGTGAAGTGTAGATTGTGGAGTGTGGAGTGTAGCGCGCGGAGTGTAGAGTGTCAAGTGTAGGGTTTGGAGTGCGAAGTGTGGAGTGCAGAGTGTCCAGTGTAGAAAGTGGAGTGATGAAGTGTATTGTGTAGAGCGTGAATAGTAGAGTTTGGAGGGTTGAATGTAGAGTGTGAAGTGCAAAGTGTGGAGTCCGTAGTGTAAAGTGTGATTTGTAGTGTGGCGAAGTGTCACGCACAGTAAGGAGTGTATAGCGCATATTGCGTGGTTGCGAGTTGGGGATTGTAAAGTACAACACGTGGTGTGTAGATTGCAGGTGTTGAGTGGTTCAGCTGCATGCCACTCCGCGGGCTAAAAATGTCTGGTTTTCTGGGTATCTTCAACTTGTTTTTTGGCGTTTACCAAATCATGCGTTGATGTAAAACATCCATATGAGTAACCGACAAAATTATTGTAATATATTGTAATACTAATTTAGTTTTGCTTCGCCTTGGCCTTTCCGAGGTTGCACAAAACCTTCATTACCGATAGGGGACGACCCTATACCGATACCCCATTTGTGATACCTCCGGGAATACTGAAATCCTCACAACCGATAGGGGGCGCCCCTAATTATAAATGTGTGCATTGCGTTAATTTTAACATATAAATTTGTCCGCTACTCATATGCAGTTGGGTTCGTGGATTCTATCTGTTCTTCCCGAATGCGTAGCAAGGGTTCCCGTTTCACTCTGGGGGTCTGGGGGTTGAGGGTGTGTTCGCTCGACTTTGCGTTTGTGGCCGCAACCGTTCGCAACAGTCCGCAACCGTGCGCGCGATTGCTATATGGCCATGCCTATGGTAAGTTCTGTCAGAGGTGGTCATTTTTTGGAGGTTTCAAACTTCTCATTGCTTCGTTTCGTTTGGCAGGCGTGGCACTTCGTGACATTCAGACGTGTTTTGTAACGTGTCGAAAGTCGTTTTGTGTAGCAGGCGCAATACTTTTGCGACGTTTTCAGAAGATACGTTGCAGTTTTCGTGGCAGGCGCAGCACTGGACGTGTCCAGCGTCATTTTGCGTGGCAGGCGCAGCACTTTAGACGTGTGGTGTTGCGTGTTTTTTTGCGAATCGGATTGGCAGGGCTGCGTCAAGTGGCGACAAGGTGCAAATTCCGTGGCAGGCGTGGCAGTTCGTGAGATGTGCTGAAAATTGACGGAAGCCTCGCACGAAACATCAATTTTGAGGTAATTTGAGATAGCAAATTTAGAGGTTCCTAAGAAAACTCGTAGGAAAACGTCGATTCTGAGGCTGCAAAGTGTGAAAGTTGGAGGAAGTCTCGCACGAAATGCGCGTTTTGGTGCTCCCACGCGTCTCGTCTCGAGTCTCTGGTTTTCCTGTGGCTTCGCTGTGTCTATGGGGGAAGCTGCAAAACCTCTCTTTTTCGAAGGTTTCCAAGCAGGTTGTGATGTCGTTTTGCGTGGCAGGCGTGGCACTTTGTGACATTCCAACCTGTTTGACAACGTGTCGAAATTGTCAAAATTGGACGAAGTCTGGTACGAAATGCTGGTTTTTCTGCACACATGTCTATTGAATCACCATACCAAATACGGACAACGACATTACATCGAGTCATTCCTACTAATAAAATCGTTGGAAACTGTCAATGCATATCGCATCAAAGCCCTTCATGGAGATATGCCATCAGATGGGCATGTCCGTACATGTTATACCCTAAGATTGGTGGTTTTCCTATTCAAAACAATGATTTCGGGATTGGTACCCCTAGTTGCATTTCTGGAAGTTTGAATGGCGCATTTGTAGCGCCAGATATGGTCAGTGCAGATTTGGAGAAGACACTTTCCAATCTCACCAACATCCCAATAGCTGAGATCATGTTGAAAGGTTCATCTCTAAGTTCGTATGCTTGACGATTCTGTCTTTTTTGGCTCCTCTGTCAGCAGCAACATGAGGTTACAGTTCTTAAAGGATGGTTAACTATA